TCTGCAGGTCTCTCCATCCCCGTCTTGGCTCCTTTGCTCAACCCTCCTCCCTCTCCACAACTGAATTCCAGTAGTATGGTTCAGTGCTTAGCTATGGTTCAGTCTGTCTCTGCTTCGAACAGCAACTGGATGAAGACTCTCCTTCCTCTCCCTGCCCCAGGGCTCCAATTTGGTCAGGGGTTCTTGTACCCATCCCCTTCTTCGAGGGACTGTGTAATCTTCTCTTGAGGTCCTCCTTATTTCCTAGCTCCTCTGGCAGTGTGGAATGTAGGTTAGTGATCCTTTGCTCTATGTCTAAAAATCAAAAATGAGTGAGTATATAACATGTTTGTCATTTGGGGATTGGCTTACCTCACTGAGGATGCTTTCTTCTACTTCCATCCATTTGCCTGCAGATACCAAGATTCCATTGTTTTTTCCACTGAGTAGTAAGCCATTGTGTAAATATACCACATTTTCTCTATCCATTCTTCACTTGAGGGGCATCTAGGCTCTTTCCAGGTTCTGGCTATTACAAATAATGCTGCTATGAACATAGTTGAACATATGTCCTTTTAGTATGAGTGTGCATTCTTTGGGGATATGCCCAAGAGAGGGATTGCTGGATCTTGAGGTAGACTGATTCCCATTTTCCTGAGAAACCACCATGCTGATTTCCAAAGTGGCTGTACAAGTTTGCACTCCCACCAGCAATGGAGGAAAGTTCCTCTTTCTCCGCATTCTCTCCAGCATAGATTCTCATTGGTGTTATTTATTTTAGCCATTCTGACAGGAGTAAGATGGTATCTCAGAGTGGTTTTGAGTTGCATTTCCCTGATGGCTAAGGATGTTGAGTATCTTTCAGCCATTTTGAATTCCTCTATTGAGAATTCTCTATTTAGTTCTGTACTCCATCTTTTGATTGCGTTGGTTGGTGTTTTTGGTGGCTAGCTTCTTGAATTCATTGTATATTTTGTTGATCAGCCCTCTGTCAGATGTGGGGTTGGTGAATATCTTTTCCCATTCTGTGGGGTAGTAATTTGTCCTGCTGACTGTGTCCTTTGCTTTACAGAAGCTTCTCAGTTTCAGGAGGTCCCATTTATTAATTGTGGATCTCAATGTTTGAGCCACTGGCTACCAAAATTCTTAAGCATTTCTATAAAATCAAATAAGTCTAACAGAGATGGCAATCTTCCCATCAATAAACAAGAAAAGCTACCATGTACACGAATATGGTTTCTAAACTAACAAACACTTTAAATAGTGTGAATAGTCTGGGGCCAAGAAAATGTAGAAGGAAGAATGCCTTCAAAGGTACCAGAGATCCAGTAGATGAGTATCTGCTCAATAACAATTCACAGGTGAGTCATAATCAATACTGACCAGATACTAGATTTTCTCATAAGAATAGAATTTTCATTCAAGTTCTTTGTTTTGGCATGGAAGAATATCAGAACACATAACCTCAAAACAATCTGTATGTGGCAAAAGAACAAAATGGCCTGGGCCAATATCCCAACTTAAAGTATTTCTCCATTCAATATCCATTCTTCAACTCCTAAATGCCTATCACTGCACAAACGGGTATAATAATTCTGTGTTGCCACAAAAGCTGCATGTGGTCCAAAGAAATTTAAGCTGACCTCCTGTGGTGTTTATGCATAACTTACTCCTTCTGCTGCTTAAAATGAAAAATACTTAATATTTTAATATTCAGACAAAGCCAATTTAGCTACACAAAAGTTGTAACTGGCCAAGTAATGCTTTTAAAAAAAAAAACACCATTCAACATACAGAAAATGAATCTGAGTGTGATGGTGACAGTTGCTTGTTTGTAGATTTATCTGCAGCATACAACACAATAAACCACCTAAACCCATGTGACAAATTTCACAATATGATAAATGGCAATCATTTACTAGAGTTCACCTGAAGATTTTTTTTAACCAAGAATAGAGCAATAGCTTGAGCCATCAGGAAAAAGAAAAGCAATTTATAGTCTTTCCTTCTTTTCTCATTATTATTGTTTCCACTAATTTTTGACCTGTTCTCTCCCTCCTATTTCTTTTGTCTTTAATACCTTCCTTTGTAAAAATGGTGTGTTCAGAGAAGGATTTTAATATTTGTTTGGGTTTGCATTCCAGGGAAGAATTATGTTGCTAAATCAATAAAGCAACATAATACTTTTATATAGGAACCTCAATTATAATACTAAAGAAAGAAAATACATGAGTGGAGTCATTGACCTATTAGATAGAAACTCAAACGATGTGAAGTCCCAATGGCAACCCTGTAATGTTCTTTATTCTAAGGTATCACAGGCTTCCTGTTGATGAGTTTCAATTTAGTATAAAATATGTTCCATTTTGTTTTTTAATGGAATTTTCCAGATACAAGAAAAGTTCCAAACTTAAGGGGCACTTTGACATTCTTTTGTGTCCTGTGATTGCAGGAAATACTTTCAGAGCATGGGCTTATTCAGAAGAAACTGAAAAAATACGCTATGTGTGCTGACACTGGAAGGTCTGTCCATGATTGTGTGTGTGTGTGTGTGTGTGTGTGTGTGTGTGTGTGTGTAGAATTAACCTGAAGTGCCCCCTATGTGACATATCAGAGCTACACTGTAAAGACATTTTCCCATAGTACTAACAGTTCATACAAATTCAGGAAAGGGAAGGGACTGAGGGATTTGCTATTATTCATTTTAATGGTTGGTCCAAATAATAAATTAAAAAAAATGCCATCAAATTAAAAAGAAAAAATAAATATTCCTGGATTTACATTTTAATACCAAATTTAAAATGCAATTGAGGTTTTATTTTTTTTCAATTAGCCCTTTCTCAACATCTTTATAAATTAGGAGAAGTTGGCAGAGAGAGAAAGGAGATGGGAAGCTAAAATATCATCTTAAGCATAGCAGAGAACACTCTTTTTCATCCATCCAGTTAGAGCTACATCTAGTTTCCTTGGGGTAGAGGATTATAGGCTGGTAAACCTTTGCTATAGATAGAATTTCAGAAGGCCCTGGTAGACATGGGAAAGGACTATCAGACTCTAAACCAGGAGAAATATGCTTATAATATTATTTAGTGCCACATCCTAGACTAGTCTGGCTAAAGAATCATAGCCTAATCGAGCCAGAGAGTTTGCTCATCAGTTAAAAACATTTGCTGGATTTGTTTTGTTTTGTTTTGTTTTTTCCAGCACATAAGTCAGGGGGATTGCAAATACATATACTCTAATTCGAAGGACTCTGATACTCTCTTTGGACATAGAGGTCATCACACACAACTGGCATGCATATATTCACACAGACACAGACACACACACACACACACACACACACACACACACACACACACACACACACACACCAAACAGAAAAATAATAATTAAATATTAAGTAAGTAAATTAAACAAAACAAAAAGAATTATATGCTGAATAATTCGAAACAGGCCTAAATCAGCTCTGGTGATCAAGAAGTACAACCTTACTTCCTACCACTTGTTTGTCTCTAACTTCCTGTTAAATCCCTACTTCATCAATGTGAGACATCTATGAGCTTGGAGAAAGTTTTCAGCTAGCCTTCATCATACCTCCAGGAAACCTCCTTGATTGTGATGCTGGTATCCATCTCTCCTCTGGTCTCTCAAGCTCTCCTGTCCCAGTCCTTTACTGCACCTCTATCAAAACCAGCAGACACACAGGTTAAAAGGCACTTTGTCCTCATATTGCCCATCACCATTTACTTTGTCACAAAACTTAATCTCTGAGTCAGTATATTCTTCAGGGCAAAAATCCATTTCCTTTCTTTACTTGCTAGACTTTATTTGCTTCATTCCTCATAGGTTGTAACTGGACCTGCTACCCAAAATCATTCTAGTAGCTTTAGGGTTTCCTCTCTGGAGCCATGGCTGTTCCCAGTTATTAACAGTTTCTTTAAAAACCTGTGTTGTTTGCTAACCACAGGAAAAAGTCATTGACTAAAGAACAAATTCTGGAGCAATGAAAAGTTTATTCAGAAAGCCAGCTAACTGAACAAGATTGCAGCTACCACAAATTCATCCAGAGACTGGCAGCACAGGGATTATAGAAGGAGTAAAAGGAGATGTGTAAAATAGGCTGGCACCATGGTGTACAGGTTTTGGTTGGTCCTATTGTTTTCTGTAGCTTCTAAGGTTCTGGAAATGTAAAGAAAAGTTACCGATTGGAAAGTACTATGAGTCTTGTCTTTTTCTGTTCCCTTTTCCCCTGCAATAGGTAATATTCTGTAGTTAGCAGGTTACTAATATTGTAATTTAAGAAAAGCAGCATGTGAGAGACAGACGCCATGTGACAGTGTTAAAGCAGAGTACATTTTGGGGGTTTTTTTGGGGGGAGGGATCATAAAAAGGGGAAATGGAAGGAGAGAGACCAGCCTATGGAGACAAGAGCAGCAGGAGAGAGGAGAAAGAAAAGAGGGGGAGAGAGAGGGAAGAGGGAGGAAGGAGAGGGATAGAGAGGAGAACAAAGAGAGAGAGGGGGAGTGGGAGGTGGACAGGGCCTTTTAAAAGGGAACATAGTGAATATCCACAAGTGGTGCTCTTAGCGGCTGCAGGGATATCCTGTCAGAGCCCCAGACAGGCCAGTACAGCTGTCTGAATACTAACAACTAAGGCTACCTTTCTACCTCCACCCACTCCCCAGGTGCAAGACAAGACAGCTACCACTGGCTACTTTTCCGAGAGAGAGAGCGAGAGCGAGAGCGAGAGCGAGAGAGAGAGAGAGAGAGAGAGAGAGAGAGAGAGAGCGAGAGAGAGAGCATTTTAGGGTCAAGGAACATTTTAGGTTTTAATTTATCTAGTGGCTTTAATCAGAGGTTTATCATCTACAACTAAACCAATGGGTTTATTTAGGTTCATCATCGGTAGTAAGGACCATGGTCACAGGAGTATGCCTTTGTTCACCTTCCTATCACCCTCCTCCCCCAGGCTTCTACCCAATTTAGGAGGAATTGGCCCTTTCCTCAGAAAGTTTCATCCCAAGACTTTGATTGAGATACACTGACGATTTCCTAAACTCTTCTTTAATCTACTTCAGGATTTCATATGTTGTCAACCAGATTCAGTCATCTTAAACCCTGGAATAGAAAGGGGCAGAAATAGCAGAAGCATTGAAAGAATAGACACAGGCCAAGATTTCTAAATAGACATTCGCTCTGCTCATGACCTCTGCCGAAGATGTGACCTCTTAAGGAAAGAAAGGAGGGTATCACGCTCTCTTGGGTGGTGAAGACCTGGTCAAGAGACATGAAGAAGCATGTGATCAGTCCACAGCTTTCCAAAGACTCTGCAACTGGATTTACCATATCCTGTATTTGTGAGTGTATTTTTCCCTTTTCATATGGTAAGAAATCCATTTTACCACTTAAACAGATGCGCATGGATTCCTCACTACACCCAGGTCACATGTCCCCCCAATTTTATTGTATCTCTGTAGAGATATATGTGTTCAATGTATATGAAGCATGCTTAAGACCCATCTCAGTCATGGGCTTAACTCATCTACAATATTACTAAAATAATTATGTCATTAATTCATATAAAAGGCCTCTGGCCATTTTGTCACACCTACAAATTCCAAAAGTGCTGTATTCTAAGAGTCAACTAACACCCTATAACATAAGGGTTTCTATTTAATAAAAATGCCCTGTTTTAAAGTTCAGCATTTTGTGTTTTGACTGTGCTTTAAGTCAAGGACAACAAATCTTTCCTTCATTAATTTGTTATTGTCAGATATCTTGTCACAGCAATAAAACAGGTAACTAGTACTGTGACACTGAACAAATGACTTCTGAATTCTTTATTTGTAAAGGGTAGATAGGAAATATCTGAAAACACTGAGACCATTATCATGGTGTAGTATTTGGACAGACCATTCTTTATTTGTAAAGGGTAGATAGGAAATATCTGAAAACACTGAGACCATTATATGATCATGGTGTAGTATTTGGACAGGCACTGGTGATGTCAGCACTTAGTAAACAGGAGTTGTGAATATGCTCCTCTCAGTGATACAAATGACTGTGCTTGTACTTGATGGCATTTACTCTTAAAAGTCTAGCACTTCTAAATACACAAAGATTCTCATGAGTGTGTGTGTGTGTGTGTGTGTGTGTGTGTGTGTGTGTATCTGAGATTTTTGGTAGATCTCTTAATGTTCCAGGCAAAATGTTGATTTATTGAATAAATGAACTGATCTGTGACTAAATTAAAAGGTATACTCATCGAGGAAGTGTAAAGATATACTAAAATGTGACTTAAAATGATGAAAACTTTGTCTCTATCCAGTCCTTTGTTCCTGTGAAGATGTCCCTCCCCAAAGCATGAATAGCCACATTAATTGTTGATAGTGACTATTTCTGTCACATTAACACAAAATCTATATTTTACAAGTGAAAGGCTATCTCCTCCTGAGACATTCGGTCCATGTCTCTTTTTTCTCTTTCCCCTGTGAATCTGGTCTTTGTGAATAACCCCCAAATCTCACAGACCCCATTCCTCATTTCTTTCCAGTCAGGGATGCTTTGAGCTCCCAAGCTCTCGACAAACTCCTGCATACTCACTGACAACTTTTAAATTGTATGTCTGATGTGAGATCTGGTTCCAACTTCATATTCATCTCAGTGTATTAAGACAATTAGTGGACATCAATACTATTGAAACTCAAGGCAGACAAAAGCATACAGCAATTATTCTGATCCACCTTGTGCACATTTTTGTAGCACCCTACTCTCCTGACCTCTTCAGGGGGTGACTGACTCTCTTGCCAACTAGTATTCAAATTTAGGATCTCAGTGATTGGCATGGTAGTGAATATCTTCAATCCCAGCACTTGAAAGGCAGAGATGGGTAGATCTCTGTGAGTACAAAGACAGCCCAATCCACACAGAAAATTGCAGGCAAGCTGGGGTTACATAATGAGACCATCTTTCAAACCACAACACCAAACCTTAGGATCAAATTTGATTCACCACACCATTAAATTTTTGACTACCTTATATTTGTTAGGTAGGAGGTCTCTCTGTATGGCCAAGGTTAGTCTGAAACTCCTAAGACCAAATGATGACCCCTATAGGTTACTTGGTATTTGGTGCAAGAGGTGTGCACTGCCATACCTGACTGCGCTTATTTTTTATTAAAGGTTACTTGGTATTTGGTGCAAGAGGTGTGCACTGCCATACCTGACTGCATTTATTTTTTATTAAATATTTATTTAAATTAAAAAAAATCTTATTTTACATACCAATCCCAGTTCCCTCTCCCTCCCATCCTCCCATTCCCCCCACCATCTCCCCATCCCACCCCCATCCACACCTCAGAGAGGTTGAGGCTTCTCATGAGGGAATCATCAAAGTCTGTCACATTATTTAAGGCAGGATGGAGGCACTCCCATCTGTATCTTGGCTGAAAGGATCCAAAAATCCAGTTCATGCAGTAGGGATAAATATTAGCTCCACTGCCAGTGACCCCATAGACTGCCCAAGTCCCCCAACTGACGCCCATATTCAGGGGGTCTGATTCGGTCCTATTCTGGTTCCCCAGCTGACAGTCTGGGGTCCATGAGCTCCCACTTGCTCAGGTCAGCTGTTTCTGTGGTCTGTGGCTCATCACTCCTCCCTCTCTACAACTGGATTCCAGGAGTTTGGCTCAGGGCTTAGCTGTGAATCTCTGCTTCTGCTCCCCTCAGCTAGAGGATGAAGGCTCTATGATAGCATTTAAGGTAATCATCAATCTCATTATAAGGGAACGGCATTTAAGGTAGCCTCTCCACTATTGCTTAGATTCTTAGTTGGGATCATCCTTGTGGATTCCTGGGAATTTCCCTAGTGTCATATTTATTATTAATCCCATAATGGCTCCCTCTATTAAGGTATCTCTTTCCTTGCTCTCCTTCTCTGTTCTTCCCACAATTTGACCTTTCTTATCCTTCATGTTCTCCTCCTCCCTCCCCTTCTCCCCTCACTTTTCTCTTAACTCCCTCCTTCCCCCATGCTCCCAATTTACTCAGATCATGATATGTAATCAGTTATAAATAGAAATTAGCCATAGAGCAAAGGATAACAACCTTACAATCTACAACCCCAGAGAAAAGAATGTACTCTTTCTGTTTAAGTAAGTTAACATTATCTCAACACCTTCTAAGGTCATAAGTTCATGCCACAAACAAATGTGTCAGCATATGCTCTTCCAATCAGAGAAGCTTGTCTCTGTGATAAACACCAAGGAATGCAGAAACTTACAGTTGCCAAGTGCTGACGATAAGTGATGAATGACAGTACAGCCCTAAACAAGACACCTATACAATCTCCTCTAAGTCTCAGTGAACATTGTGAAAGAGCAGTAAAAGCACTGAAAGACACAGAAAACAGTCATTACAATTATGACCCAAGCATTTTAGGTCCTCCAGTGGTCCTGTATAAGAATGGATCAGTCATCTATCAAGGATGTTCATAGTACTCCTGGCCATCCCCACTAAACTATTACATACTGGTGTATGCTGTAGGAGAAGTGGTCATTGTCTTCAGAAGAAAACCCTTACATGAATTCCACAGTTTTCAATAGGTGTTGCAAACCCACAGTCACACATATTACACTAGTAAAAGTTAATGTTTCACAAAACAGAGGACATGTATGTAAGAAAGGTAGTTAGTAATAGGGAAAGTATGAGGATGTCAACAGCGGTAAGAGGAAAGTAGGAGATAGTAGGAGTTGTGAAACTAGCTCGGATGCACCATATTCATATATTAAATTGTCAAAGAAAAGGGTATAATCAAAATAAAGTTAAAATTAAAATAAAGAAAATAGGAACTGCAGAATATCTGTAATCTCAGAAAATAAAGCAAAATATAAAATAGATTAACATAAAGTAAAAATAGCAGTTCATATTTCTGAACATTGTAAAGGAAATATTTAAGGAAATAAAAATAAGCTAAAATGAAAACCAACATACTGAAATTGGACAAGCCAAGCCAACAGAAAAATAAAAGAGCCCAAAGTGAAGGCACAAGGATAAGGGACCCACTCATTTACACATTCGAGTGTCTCACATAAGTACTACACTGAAATGTATAGTATGTATGCAGAGGACCAAACTGACAAATGTAGCCCCTGTAATTGCTGCATCAGTATCTGTGAGTTTTTATGAAGTCTGTCCAGTTGTTTCAGAGGGCCTTGCTCTCCTGGTGTCCTCCATTTCCCATGTCTCTCCAACTCATTTCCCCTCTTCTTCGATGTGTTTCCCTTAGCTCTGAGGGGAGAGATTTGATGGAGACATCTGATTTTGAGCTGTATTTGTTGAGAAAGAGGGTAGAATAGAGGCAAGTAATATTATACTTTATCCCCACAAATCTGAAATTAAAAAAAAAAACATAAAACTCATGTAATCAAAAATGTGAGTAGTAGTGAAAGGCAGGGGTCCATTGCTGTAAGTAGCAGAAAAAGAAAGACTAGATAAAATACACAAACATCAGGGAAAATACACAAACATTATAAGGGGAAAAGCAAACTTCAACTTGAAGTGCTAGATAAAAAAAAAAAAAGCAAAGAGAAGAGGGACAACCTCCTTCCCCATAACTTGCTTTAAAAAGGAGTAAAAAATTAGCACATCTTATTTATATCAGTGTTTTCAGATTAATATCTCATGATGCCTTCAGAAAAGGTGCTGAATTAAAAAAAAAAAACTTAAATGTTTAGTTATTGCAGGATAAAAAATAGTTATATTGCTTTTATTAAAGATGAAACAAACAGACTGTCAGTCTTTTACGCTCGGACAATTTTTTTCTTAGGTGAATATACTTCACTGTTAATTTGAAATACACTAACGAAACAATGGAAGTAAGAAAATAATGTAATGAGTTAGGTGATATTGCATTTTAGAAAGGCTCTGGAAACTCCCTGCCCCCATTCCAGGTCAACTAAGTGATATCAAGATTTTGACTTTTTGGGAGAGCCATCCCTAAAACTGGAAGAGCTGTCCCCATTACCTATCTGTCTTGTAGTGGCCTGGGGGTGGGAGAAGTAAACCCCCCATCAACACTGGAGGCAGATGGAAAAGAGGGCCCTATGGTCATAAGAGTGGGAGAGCCTTCCCCTGTATATATAAGCTGAGAGAGTTTACCTCCATAAGGAGTGGGCTCCCAAAGCCCATTGGTCCACTAGGGATAAATACTAGCTCCACTGCCAGTGACCCCATAGACTGCCCAAGTCCCCCAACTGACACCCATGTTCAGGGGGTCTGGTTCGGTCCTATACTGGTTCCCCAGCTGTCAGTCTGGGGTCCATGAGCTCCCACTTGCTCAG